ATAATTTTCTGTATTCACAATATTAATATTTATACGGTGATTTATTCGAAGTGATGTTTGATGCCAGATGCAACTAGCAAGTTTATTAGTATATTTTGCTCAAAAGTGTACATTAACGAGTAGTAGAAACGTTTGACGTATTTTTAATGGTAATAATGTTAATAATATTACACAGGTACCTACTAAATACTATTACCGATGTGGAAATTTACATAGTATTAAATTATGCTATTTTCATCTCGAGAATAATATAGTAGTATATAATTATAATATTATTTATATATAGTAGGGAGGTATAGTGTTTTATTCTTACTTCTACATATTACTCTTTTTTTAGTACCTATATTATTATGTGCTATTATTTACTATTAAATATTGCCCGATTATAATCTGTCCATAAATTTTCAAATTTATTCCATTTAACTACGAGATTAAGYATTTATTATGCCCATGTACAATATTTTTAGAACATGTACCGTGCATCGTAAAATATCTACAAATGGAATATTATGATATTTTTTGAATACTCAAGTTCGTATATATGATAAATTTAATGGAACGCAATTTAAATTTATGTCCGATAAAGGTAATAAAACTTTATTCATGTTGAAACGTATATTATCACGTGCGATTAATCAGATTCTATATGCATTATAACAGTAAAATAACAAAAACAAATTACCCAGTAAAATCATAATATACCTATGTCTTATAATGTTTGTTTTGATCGGATAGTAGAAACCAGCTATTATTTCACATTCGGGTATTTTACTGACTTTWCATCGGTATTATTTTGTCTACAGGAAAAACAATAAAGCCAAAGAAAATAAGTTCATCCAGACCACATATCTAGTGGGTAAGGACAGCTGTACTATGTTGGATGTTCTTTTGAAACCCATGCAGTATCTAGTAAACATGAACAAGATGTTTAACGATTTAGGATTGATGTTGCTGAACACCGAGGACACTGACTATGTAGGCGAAATAAAGCGTTATTTAAATCAGGTATAAAACAGCAAAAGTTAATGTTTTTGTTAGAAGATAATAAATACTTAATCAACAACAAAATATAATATAATAGTATATTTGCATTATATTTTACATAATTATTAATTATGCACGTAAATTGTGTGATTTTACTCTTAACTTTTCAAATAATTCAGTACCATTTATTCGTTGAGTATTATAGTTACATTAACTCGATGTTTTTTTTTAAATGTTTAGGTTTTCAACAAGATTCAGAGCAAACTTGATCTAGTGTCAGAAATTATTGATCAAATTGTCCACCGATATGAAAAACGATGTGAAAGAAATAAATCAGCTATCGAAAAATGGAAGAAAATAAAGTGAATTTTTTATTTGACATTTTCTYTCACAACCATTATCATTATAATATATATATGTATATAAACAATTTTACTGTTGTTTCAGAGAAAAACTAAGACTCATTTTTGAAACTACCATTGTTGCACCTTGTTCGTTTACTTTAAAATTATATTTAAATTACTATTTTCCTAACGAAGAATACTTCAATGAGTATTTGAATACTTTAATTAAAACATAATAATGTATTGTATTATGTACCTAGTAAGTTTTATAATTGTTTACTAATTGTACATTACTTCAAATATGATACATTGTAATTACTAATAGAATTGATTTTTCTTTAATAACATCAATACGTCAAGCGTATTTTTCAGTTGCATATTTAATTTAGTGAAGTTTAGGTACACAGATCAATTATATTTTTTAATATCAACAAATTTGTATAAATGTTGATTATTTTATACTGGTATTATTTCATCAAATTAATAATTTTTTATGTTGATTTGTCATATTCTAACATTTGTTTTTATATATATAACCAATAGCTATACTAAGAAGGCAAGTAACCTTCATGGATCATTTTGTATTTTTTTATATTTCGTATTTTGTATTTTATTATTATCAATATTATTATTATTTTTTTTTTTTTGTATTATTATTTTATTATTTAAGACCCGTGGAAACTTGGGTTTTTATTTTATATTTTGTACATCTACTTACTAAATTAATAATCAATTATTTTTCAAATGCTTGATTTTATATTTTGATTGCGTTTTTACAATAGTATTAGTACAATTCATAAGTTTTTAATTTTAATTTTAAGTTGGTTAATGAAAAATAATTGTTTATATTTTGTCTATTGGTAGTAAGCGATTTACCTATTAGTATATCCATAACATATGTTATTTATGTTCAATATATATTTTTAATTATTTTGGAATGGGATATAAATTTAATATAGCATTCTGTTATAAATTATAATCAACAACTATTATAAATTTTTGTGTCTGTATACCTATGTAAATATATGATACCTATCTACTATATTAAATTACGTTCACACATTTATTAAAATGTAAATAATAATTATGCTAATTATAAAAGTCGTATTACTAGATTATGAGTAGAGCAATCAATTATTAATTTTTAATTTTTTTATTTATATAGGAGTTAATAATGATGAAAAAAATTTTTTGTGTGTTTTTCGTTAAATTTTTTTAAACACTTTTTATAAGAATAAAAAAAAAATACGTTTAAAAACTTGGCCTAGTCTCTTTCCACAGTCCACTCCAAAGGTATAAAGGTTACCAATAATAGCACGTAATTAGTAAATAATATCAAATTTCTTTTTAAATTACCAAATAATCTCTTCATTTTATGGAATTAATTTTAAATTATGTTGGCCATATTCAGGATCCTAATGGGCTTTGAAAATGATTTGATTTTAAATCTCAAAGATGTTTTTGGTTGTGCAATTATATATGTATGTTTACATTAAAGTCATTACTCATTAGTAATGGTTAGATAAATCCAGTGCTTTGAATGGAAAACTTTCTGAACCGGAACGCTTTACATTATTATTAAATACACGTAAAAAATATATCTTTAATATAAGTATATATAGCTGATATATATTATATTCATATTAAAATTATAGTTTTCACCAATAAATAAATAGTTAGTTATTTCACTATAAAAATTCAAAAAAATTAAAAATTAGTCATGTATTAAAATTAAAATTTTCAATAACCTTACTACGATATACATAACGTTACCTATAAGTACTAATAATTAATTTATTAT